GTTTGACGGCAAATAAAAGAGCTTCAACACCTCCATCGTCTGTTTGCACGTACAAATAATTAACTGCATTTGAAGCTTTCAGTAAATTAAAGATGAAACACCCAAAACTGTACATGGCATCATCACGAAGACGAACTATATGTTTATATGTGAAATTCCGGAGGGGACGTCGGATGGCGTCACGTGGGACGTAATGACGTGTGCCATTAATCGATCTATGTACTATAACATGTAAAACGGGAACATGAAAGGAATATTCTAAAAGCAACTCATGTAAACACCATAATCATAATATTGGCTTATTTAGAATAAGGTAAATAATTAGATTACTGATGTCCAAACGTAGTCAGTGAGTTGCTTTTAGAATATTCCTTTCTTGTTCCCATTTTACATGCTGTAGTACAGAGATCGATTAATGGTGCACGTCATTACGTTCTCACGTGATGCCATTCGATGTTCCCTCCAGAATTTCACGTATCAACATACAGTTCGTCTTCGGTACCATACAGTTTTGGGTGTTTAATTTTTAATTTTACGAAAGCTTCAAGTGCAATTACTTATGTCATGCTATACATGCAAACAGACAATGACAGATAAAAATGAGACGCCATGCTATTTTGTTTGCAGTCAAATGGTTGACCACTGCCGTGTGTGTATCCTGTCGCAAAATGCGGCGAAAAGTCCTACATGATGGTAATAATATGATTAAGGTGTTTACATGTTTATTCTGCACTTCAGTAATGCGACTAAAATAGGAATAATCCACATGTCATAATTTGATTTCTGTTTACTTCGAATATGACTTTAGCCGGATTAAGGTCATCAAAAATATCTGTTTACATGGTAGATTCTTAATCAGAGTATTGTCTTAATCATATTAATATCGGATTATTGTTGTCCATGTAAACGTACTCATTGACACCTACACACTGTCACCTACGTATATTTGTCATATACATATACATTTACATTTACATGTGCATACATATACGTGTACATACGCTGTATATAGTTACATATCAGTGTTATTTTAGTAAAACTGAGATACTATTATAGTTCTTATCAGTACTTTTAAATTCATGTTTATTTGTATATTTATTTTCATTTTTTTTCAGTTCATATTTCTTTCAGTTCAGTTTTGTTTTAGTTATTTTAGTACATCAGGTTTAACTAAATGATAATGGGAAAATGGCTTGGAAATGAGCTTTACTTTATTTATGTTAACATTCATTTTAAGTAATAAAAATGTTTTTTTTTTTCCATAGTTTTATCTTAATAACCCTGATACATATACATAGATATGTACATATATTTCTGTGTTTGATTATTGTTGGCCATGAGTTATTTATTATTAATTTAGTTGTGCTGCTAGAAGTATACTGCATATTATCTACTTAGGACAAAAAAAATGCAGTTATGTATTCAACCTGTTCTTCACCACTATTCAGAATTTTAATTCAGATTATAATTGCATATAATTTGTTAAATAAATGTAAAATTGTTTACTGATCTGCCTTCACGCATAATCATGGTTATTTTTTGTTGACAGTGGTTTCTCTCATGAATAGTAATTAAATTATGCATTAATAATTTAAAATGACCTTTAACTGTTTCGATAAATAGTCTGTGTAATGATCAGGTGATGAGATCTGTAGTACAATATTTGCTCATTTCCAATTCAAAACGGAAATGTACATGACATTTGGTATATAGAATGGGTAGAAAAAGGTGAGAAACTGCTGCTTTTCGCCACTGATGACAGCCAGAACAATCACTCAGTAAAACATTAAAAATGTACTCACACATCCCCATCATGAATGATGCATACTGCATATGAGATCTACCTCTACCCATGTCCAGGGCTTGCTAACAACACAACATGCTGCTG